GGCCAAGGCGGGGGCGGCCCGTGACCGCCACCTCTACCTGCAGGAGGTGGAGCACATGAGGGAACTCATGCAGACCAGGAGATACCAGGAACAGCCAGGTACAGCATGCTCACTGTGCGGCCAACCCCAGTGTGTGGCTGGGAGAGGCTCACAGACACGTAAACAGAAAAGACTTTTCATGCAAACAGGCACGGTATGAGTAGCAATCTGATTATTGTATATGAAGAATTACTGTACAAACTGGGAGTCTTGACAGTAGGTGCAGTTATTAAAGTAGAGGGAATGTCTTAGGATGAACCTGTTTAATCCCAAAGTTTTCCTTGCCGTTAGAGTGCATGATAGAATTAAACTTGCTCTGGTCATATGACCATTGACCCTAGTGCTATGACATTAGTTTTGTATTAAGACAACCTCTACTTTCATTTATAGGAAGTCTTTTGGGCAGATAAGCAACAACCAAACTCTTTTAGAGCTTAAAAAAATGACAAAAAAAAATTTGGTCACAGTTGCGACTGGTGAGATTAGATGGGTTAAGTGCCCCAGAAATGTACCTAAGCAAGCTTAGAGGACCCATATGAGACCAGAGGCGTAGAGGATTGGAATTAGTGTACTGATTCATGCCTCTCTGAGTACTGATTCATGCCTCTCTGAGTACCGATTCATACCCCTCTGAGGCTGGGGAGGCAGGGCCATCACCTCATTTTAAAGGAGAAATGAATTACAAATGTTGCTCTGAATGTTATTGGTTTTTCTCTGATGTGAGCCGTTACTGTAGTGCACTTGGCTAAGCTGTCCACAATGTTAGCCAATCTATTTTTTGTTCAGAAGGCTGCCTGGACATGATGTTCCAGCCCGAAGGCGATTCCTCTCCAAAGCCATGGCGCCCCCTACAGGCTAACAGGTGAGTCATAGAAGGTCATATACAAGTCATGCATAGAAACTACATGAATGCAGGGTTGATCACAAGATAAGAACAAAAACAAAAGAATGAAATAAAGAATGAAAGAAAAAAAGAGCTGTGATATGACTAAAAGAAAGGGTTCAAAGCAATGATGCATGTTTAATCCTGGGCTACTTGTCACCTTGGTATTAAGACTGTATGCATGCATGTTCACTACCTGCCTATGACCAAATCTCTGTCTGCCTCACCAGTGGCCAGTCTTCTGAGGTGAGCTCTGAAGCAGACAGTGCAACCAGTTCCCTGGATCCATGTGCACTCCATGCCAGTGACGGTCAGTGTCTTACACTCCTGCTAGCTAGACAAGCACCTTCCCTTCAACCTCTTACCAGCCTTTTCTCTCAGTACTGCCCTCAAAGCAGTATTCTCCTCTCAATGGACTGAGTAACCCTTTCCTGTTAATTTTATCTCATCTGGCAGCAGAAAACAGGAGAGGAGACAGTGATAGTTGGTAAGCGGCTCTGTATCTCAGACCATAGCATACCGAAACTGAAGCGCACTGTTAGGAACTCAGACTGCAAGACTCTTTTCATCTGCTAAACTCATACTGTAGACCTCTGCCAGCTCTCTGATGGGAAACTGACAATAATATTGTGTTGCTCTACTGCAACATCATTAGCTTTAATTACTTGAGTACTAGAACTACTGCTGTTCTCTAGCATTGCCTTTCAGTATGCCATACAGACAGCTGTTTGAATTCAGACAGACCTGGAGCCTGCTATTGCATGTCATTCATATAAGGAATTCTCCACTGTCAGTGCAGTATGCATAGAAGCTACTTGCACATTTATTGTTTTGCAGCATGTTTGCAATGCATAGAAACAATTTGCATTATTACTGTAGCGTGCTTCCTGTGTGTAAAAGCTCTCTATGCTGTGGCGGTGAGATGGCTGTGCCCCCGAAGCTCTACAGTGCTCAGCAGGAGACTGCAACCAGCTGAAGGTACGTGTTAGATGTGGTTGGACACACATAATGAAATCGTGACCCTATCTCAGACACAATTATATACACACTCACACATCTGGATCTTGATTATTGACATAATTCCCTTTTAAATTGCTATTAATTATCATATTGGCATATATTAGACATACAGAGCTCAGCAGATAAAAAACATGAAGCTTAATAGTGAAAACACTACTGGAAATGAATGTGTTAATCCGAGATGCTTTGATGTAGAAGTGCACAGTGAATGACTGGCAATGCATGTCCTTCCCCTTGACACTCAACTGTCTGTCCACAGGTGACCGAGTTATCCCAGATCTCCCCAGTCAATCTGCATGTCAGCTGCCATCAAATGTTCTCTTCACAATTAACCCCCTGTGTTTCCCAAGTCTGTATCCATGGTAGAAAATTCACCGGTTATACAGCATATCCCCATGTTGTTAATGTCGATATTGAAGGAACCAGAGATGTGTTGAATTTCCCAGTATTCTATGGTCCACTTCAGGACTACACGCCCCACTTTTCAGTCCGCGAGCATGCAGTGGACAACCACACTAACGTACAACATCTCCATATCTCTCCATGTCATCTTTCCTCTTTCTCGTAACGTGGAGCATATATGTATGTGAGGGCTAACAAATCCCTGTTTACATTACTCAGCAAAGTGTTAGTTCATGAATAACAGGCATATAAAGAAGTAAGACTGTGGAAATGGAAAGACTATAGCTGTTGAGAGATTAACATATTAATATGCATTATGATTAAATGGGTAATTGCCAAATATATCATCTCACTGGTACTGTTCTTGCTTTTTTATACCATGGATTTATTACTAATTACACTGACTCATACCAGTTAAAGAGATATAAAAATAAGTTATTATGAAAGGAGCATAAAATACTGGACTAAGGACCAATATGCAAAGATGGAACCTTCCTTATGAGAAATCAGAAAATGTGAACTTCATCCAAAAGCTGGAACTGCCCATCAGTAAAGTAGGCCTTGGATATAAATGAAACTGTCCATTATTCTTTGGAGCCTGATGTATCCCCTTTAAATCTGGCCTGATCAATCAGTTACGGAAAAAGAAGGTCATGGGGTTCTGGCAATATCACCTCTTCCAATGTCATAACATCTGGTTCCTCCTTCACCTTAGGACAGAAGTAGAAGCTGCTCATTGTCTTATGTCTTGAGTCAGTAATTCCACCAATTCCAATCACATTTTGAATCACAGTCATGAAGAGTGTGGCCAGTGAAGTAAATTATGAAGACACTGTGAAGGAGGTTCCTCTGACATTCCTGCCTACCCACACAATTACCTCTCTCAATAAATAAGAGAAGGAGGGCGTGCGATGACAGTTCAGGGTTAACACTTTCTTTTGCACTATTCAGCATGTAGTATTTTGCTAATAAAATATGCACCTGTGTCCCAGTTAAAGTTTCTTGTACACATTGAATAGCCAGAATCAAAATTTACAATGTTTGGTTATTAAAAACAACCCAAAAATGTGCAAATATCAGTGTTGACAAAACAGTTTTTATTATTTAACTATGTATTTAAACATTGCTGTGATTAAAGACAATCATGTTTATGGCAATATGGTGTCAGTTGTCTTATTGAAACCAGTGGCAGCTTCGGAAGCATTGCTGCTGTAGATTATAGTGAATTATGTTGCAAAGAGCCATAGAGCAACCTCACAGAACTGTGATTCTGGGGTTTTTTTTTCATAGAAATTATTATTTGTCGAACAAGGACTTTTCATCGAAGGAATGAGAGTTATCAAACTGGACACAAATGCTAAAACAGAAACATTAACTGGTATTGCTTGACCATACATTTATCTTGATTGTATATTACAGCACAACTGTCCTCTAATGTGAGATAGGAATAAAATGAAGTGCTTGGTTGTCTTCAGCCCATAACGATAAAGTCAAATGCAGTTTTCATGATTCTGTCAAGACATTCTGCTACATCCTAGGAGATATGGCTTCATCATACGGGATAAATTTCATAAGATATTTTTGACATAGTGTGTGAGTACACTTGAACTTCTGCAGTCCAGTCTGCATATCCTTGAAACAAATTATAGAAACCAATTATGTAAACTAACCAATTTACATGCTTGGACTAATAATGTCCCCGACAAATTTTGTCTAATTTAAAATATTGCAGTTTGCAAGAATATTTTCATATAGAATTTTTCAATAACATATGGTTTTTGTATTGTGAAATTTTACATGAAATGCATCTCCTCCACTCCTTGTTAACCTACAGGTATCTACATTTTATATATCAATTATTGCCTCAGATGGTCGAAATCCAATATAAAGCACAATATACCACAGATAATATGGACAGAAGCAACTTTAGATATAAAGTAGGCCAAGGTAAAGGCTGGTATTCGCATGTTTATGAAAATGATGAGAAAGCAGAAGAAAACTTATAGACAATTGTTTTTCAGTTTTTTTTTAAAATGAAATACCAGCTCTACTACTCCTGTACCTCTAAATATCCAAGCATATCAGACTTGCAAATCGATTTCCCATTCATCACATGTGACAACTAGGAAATGTGCTATTAAGCACCAAGGCTAAAAACACCCTGTAAAATAAGACCATAAATGGGCTCCCCGATGTGCAGTTCAGGCATTCTTCAGGAGAAACAGAAGATTATTTGTGCACCAGGCCTATCCAAATCAATAAACAACGCATTTAATTAGGTTTATACCGTAGTTTATTTTTGTAGTATTTATATAGGGCAAATAAGGTTAAAAATTAATTTTAAATACATTAGTAAAAAAAACATTAGTAAACTAGCCCTAACTCGCCCTATATATTCTATTCTAATCTATTGTATTCTATTCTAAATTGACCAAATTTGCAACTTCAGAATTCAGATATTTTAATGCGGTCTCTAGCGTTAATTTGTAATTTAAGTAAATATTAAACATTATCTAAGTTATCTGTCTGCTTTTTACGATATTATATTCAATGAACATTTTTCTCCGTCCCGATGATGCCTGCTGAAGATGCCGTTGAAACGGGGCGGCGTTCGAGCTGGATGGGAGGGCCGGGTGAAAGGTGAAAGTTGAAAGGTATCAGTTTTGTTGTCTTTGTGTAAAGAGTGGAGCGCGATCTCTCGTTGTCTCTTTTCCCTCTTCCCCGTATCCTCTTAAAACTCTCCCCCAGGGTTTATACCCCCCCGAACCTCCCCTTTTACCCTTAAAACCCTTCCCTCCCCCTGAACGCTCGTCGAAGCACGGATCAGGTAAGAAAAGCTCACGTTTTCTTGTTTTTTTTGGATGTTTTTTAGCGCTAAAATCCGGGCTGAGCGTAGCGCGCCATTGCTGGGAGCTCTCGCTGTCAGGCTGCGCCGGAGCCGCTAGGCCGCACGAGCGGACAGCGCGCGCCGTCGATGCCGGTGCCTGCGTGACGCGGTTAATCCGAGCGTAAGCACGACTAACGCTCAAACCGGCTGGTTTGTTTTTTAATACGGTACATTTTGGGAGTAAATGCGTAGTTTGGCCCTTGCCGAAGCGCTCACCGAAAATGCCCGAGCTGAAAACGTGGAGAGGCTCGGCTGTGCCCTACTCGCTCGGCCGCTCCTTGCTAGTTAGCCTCTTAGCTTAGCTACCTACGTAACTCCAGGCTTCACTTTGAACTGCCCCGCGTCGTGCGCTCATTTTTAGGCGTGTAACACTATATCTGTGTGAAAATCGAAAGACGGTGAATATTTTATTTTTCTTCCAATGCGTTGCGGTTGAGCGGGTCAGGGATTTACGTGGATGAAGCTCCTTGCGTTGTTGCCGTTGGCTTACTGGTTAGCATGCTAGCTAGTTCCAGTGAAAACGGGCTTCTCCACGGTCGACTATTCCTAGGTAAATTTCCGCCTGCTACCCATAACGTGAAATGCTATACCTTTCACATTATTATGAATTAGCAGAGCTCTGATCTTATTTTAGTGTGAAGCTTAATTTATGTGGTCACGTACTCCAAGTGACCCCCCCCCCCAATACTGATTCCGATAGCGTTAATCCGTGAACTATAACACTGACGATGACGATTTTCCCTCCACATTCATTTTGCGTTTTAAAGTCTCATTTGACATTTTGACGCTGGCGGATGTTTTAGTGGGCGTAGTTGTGAATACTGCACGCTTTGAAAAGTCCTGGTCCGCTGGTCTGAGCAGTGATCATTTCCCCCCCGTCCCCCCCCAGTTCTGACCAAAGACCCCAGCGCTTGACCCGCCAGCACCTCTCCGCATACACTGCAGCGATGGACTCCGGTGTGATTGAAGGAGGGCTCAATGTCACCCTGACAATCAGGCTGCTCATGCATGGCAAGGTTGGTATGTCCGTCAACTCCAAGTCAAATTAGGATCGATTTTAAAGGTTGCATCTGCTATAGTTCCATCCATCTTTATTATGTTGTCCACATCTGGCAGCAGTGTTGTATGTTGTTATATATTAAATATAAATATTTAATACTCAAGTTGAGCGGCATAGAGATTCCGGAGACAGATCTTTTTTTGCTAAACCACAGTACCAAGTAGTTTTACTCCATGGCCACTGGCCCATCTCGTCGAGGTCCATGGCTGGTAGTATTTGTGCTGCTAGAGGTTGACTACAGTTGTAGTAAAATTGAAAATTAAGAACTGTCATCAAGCCTGATTTTGGTTTCATTGCTTTTCTTTTAAAAGTGAGTAAGTTCTGTATTTCATCTGTAAACCTTTAAAAACAGGTGTATTACTCATTACAGTGTGGTTTTCTGGACAAAGCTATTTGTTCGCATAACATAGGTGTTAAGTACGTATGTCTTATTTTATCATGTTAAATTATGTTCAATACATTTATTTAGTGTTGAAATAGTACATTCAGTCATTCTACCTTTCCTTGAGTGTTTATTCTTGGTCTTATTTCTGTAATGGACTGAACGTCTCCCTTTCTTATAGGAAGTTGGAAGCATCATTGGCAAGGTTAGTACTAAGCTTTCTGTGACTTGACATTATTTATTCTGTCATTGCTTTTTCAGCAACGTTAATGTGTTTTTCCTCTCTTGTATGTAGAAAGGTGAATCTGTGAAGAAGATGCGAGATGAGGTGAGTTCTCAACACTTGTTTGTATTTATGATGATGGTAAGACTAAGGTATTGACCTCTGAGCTAAATAGTGCTCCGTCACTATAGTTACGGTTCCCCTCTCTCATGGTTTGTTTTTCGTTAGATGAGTTTCTTAGTAATAACTACACTATGATGTGTAACTACCTTTCCTGTGTTGTGGGAAATGTAGATTTGTTGAGAAATATGTGTTAGCATGTGGGCAGGTAGTGATTGGCGTCCTTTAATCTGTAGTTGTGGGTCAAATATAGCCAGTCAAAGTTTTGGAGGGTTTGCCAAATACCTGTATGCCACTCTCTATGCTCTGGGTGTTCAGAGTCCCACCTAAGTGAGCCATATTAATTATTACCCTTATTGTACATCTGCGCGAAGAAGTCACGGAAAAATGTGTGCCACTGAAGTACAGCTGAAGCAGAGCAGAGAAATACTAGAGATTTGTGTGATTACAAGTGAGAAGCTAGGTGGCAGCACTGTGCAGTCGCACAGTATTTTCAAGCTCAGTTTCTGGATAAGCGATTTTTATTTTTGCATATTACTCTAATCCGTCATGGGTCCAAAGGAGGTTTAAAAGCTTTTCAAGAAAAAATGTTAGTTTTATTTTGGGGAGGTAAACTGGGGTTTCTTGGATGAACAAATAGTACTTTTCCCCGTTAAAAATAATGGAAGTTGCTTCCAAATAATTGAGCTTGAGCCACTCAGACTATTTCTAAGAACCACTTGTGCTTTGATAACAGCATATCTGTATATTTGTGTTTAGGTAAAGTTTAAGATTTTACTTTCTATTAGAGACGTCAGTGTGCACGGTCCTCTGTCCCTTGAACAATCTAGCTTTAAATGTGGCTTCCCAAACTTTCAATTACCAGGAAGTTTTATAATTTTTTCTAAACTTATTCCATCACAATGAACAAAGAATTCTAATGTTACTAATTAAAGCCCTTACCTCTTTAAAATTTTATTTCTGTTTAAAATGTACTCATTTTAAAAAGTGTAAGTAAAAGTGAGCGTTCTTGGGTAAAGTGCCGTTTCTCTCTGCAGAGTGGAGCACGGATCAACATCTCAGAGGGCAACTGTCCCGAAAGGATCATTACTCTGGCTGGGCCCACCAATGCCATCTTCAAAGCGTTTTCCATGATCATTGATAAGATGGAAGAGGTACAGTACACAATGCTGTTCCATTGGACGTCGCTGTCTGCGTTGCCTTTTTTGCTTTTTTTTCCAGCTCATTGGTTGTCAACCATCTGAATCGTCAGTTTTGATGATTAGTTTGCATCTAGCATATAACATGTAGCGATATCATTCTCTCTCTGTGAACACATCTGGGCCTCTCACTTTTTAGGACATCAGCAGCTCGATGACCAACAGCACGGCTGCCAGCCGGCCCCCGGTGACCCTGCGCATTGTCGTCCCCGCCAGCCAGTGTGGCTCGCTCATTGGCAAGGGTGGCTGCAAGATCAAGGAGATCCGGGAGGTGGGTGAGAGTAGAGATGGTGCCCCCAGTACTTGTGTATGGGCAGTCGGTGAGTCTGGAGTTAAAAAAACAGGTCTGTCCTTTTTTTTTCCAGTCGACCGGGGCCCAGGTGCAGGTTGCAGGAGACATGCTGCCGAACTCCACGGAGCGTGCCATTACTGTCGCAGGCACTCCTCCGTCCATCATCGAATGCGTCAAGCAGATCTGCGTGGTGATGCTTGAGGTATTTACCATCACCTAGTTCACTTTCTGTTGCCTTTGGGGTGTGAAGAAGGGAATGAATTTTTGGCAGAGAGATGTGGCTCAGTGGGTTACGACGCTGTTTCCATGATCAGAAGGTCGTTGGGTGGAATCTCATGGTCAGCACTGTGATTTCACAGTTGGCTTCTTGAGCAAGACCTTTAACCCCAATTGCAACAGTGACTGGCTGAACCTGCTTTTTCAGTTATGCCTTGCTTTGTATAAAACATTTGCTAAATAAATGGATGTAAATTTTATTGATTTCCTTTCGTTTAAACCAGACATTGACCACGTGATGCCACTATCATATTCATCTCGGTTTTTGAGTCCTCATTTCTCCCATGACAGCAGTTGTTGTTTATATAAGGTGCCGGTTTGACAGCAGATTGGTAAGAAACCCTGTTCTGTGTTTCTTTTCCTTCAGTCCCCCCCAAAAGGTGTCACCATTCCATACAGGCCCAAACCCTCAAGCTCACCTGTGATTTTTGCTGGTGGACAGGTATTGTACATGTATTCTCACTGTATGATATGAGTGTTTGTTATATTGTCGAGTGGTTGTATTGTATGAAATGCTGTGAGTGATGTGATGCTTATGTCCCAGGAGAGGGTGCTAGTTGAGCATCTCCTTTTGTTGCAGGCATATGCTGTCCAAGGACAGCATGCGATCCCGCAGCCTGATGTAAGTGCTGCATGACTTCAGCTTTGCTTACTGATCCTAGAGGCACCACCGGCCAGAAACTTTTGTGGGTCGTACATCAGAGTGCCTTTCTAGAGAAATGTTTATTTACAGCATTTATTCCATCATATTATGGTTTTCTTTATAAAGACTGTGTCAGAGTGTAGTAAAGTAATGCCCCCAACTACACTTATCACAAAGGCTGGTTTGAACGTGAGGTTATTGATCAGTATGGCTGTCTTTCATCTCTCCTTCAATAGCTCACCAAACTTCACCAGCTGGCCATGCAGCAGGGCCCCTTTCCACTGACTGCAGGCAGCCAGGGCTTCAACGGTGCGTATCTGCCTGGGGGCCGTAAGATGGTTCTGCTTACGCTTCAAGTTCATAGCGGGAAGATGTAAAATCATTTTAGTTCTGGAATGTATTTTTATTATGGAATGTCATACAAGTGCTTATGCACAAATAGCAAACATTCCATTTTCTGTTTACGTAAAGCAATATCTTAACTGTTGCCCTGTGCTGTTGGTTATTTCTGTGAAGCTCTTTGTCCTTCATAATTTTACACGACTGCCATGTGAATTGCTTTGTCGCCCTACAGCCATGGACGCCTCAGCCCAGACTAGCTCCCATGAGTTGACCATTCCAAATGACGTACGTGCTTAATTCATGTCTGAGTGAAGTGTATTACTTTCCTCAAGCATCAGGGCTTGTGTCATTGTGACAATGTTGCAGCTCATTATTTCTGTGGGGACAGCTGGTATGTTGCACTAAACTTTTTCTTTTTTTCATCCCCTTAGCTGATTGGGTGCATTATTGGCCGCCAGGGTGCCAAGATCAATGAGATCAGGCAGATGTCAGGAGCCCAGATTAAGATCGCCAATCCAGTGGAGGGCTCCACTGACCGACAGGTCACCATCACCGGTTCTGCTGCCAGCATTAGCCTGGCTGAGTACCTCATCAATGCCAGGTGAAGATGCCCGTGGGAAAAATTGACTAGTGTTTCCGTTCATGTCGATAGTCACAATAGATTATTCAAATAGTGTATATGATTAAAAAAAATCAAGCCTGATGTTTCTAAATGTTGATATCTACCCTGGTGTATGTTATGGTGTTCTCTTGGTTGAAAACATTTTATAGGTTTTGTTTTATCCTGGCAAGCAGAATGCAGTATGATTTAAAAGTTCTTAAAATCTGCTGTTGAGCCCCTCATTGCCCCCTTTGGGTGGGAATTGGTACTGCTTCAGTCACGGCAGTTCCGTGTTGTATAATGAGGTGTAATTTATTTTTCTTTTTTCTTTCCAATATCTCCAAAAGGTTGTCTTCGGAGGCCACTGGACTGGCGACCAACTGACTGACCCAGCATCTGCACTAAAGTGGCAGGTCCCCTACACCAGTGACTGCAACTAATCAGGATTTTCTTTTCAGTTCTAACCCAACCACAAACACATGCATACTGTTTAAGAATTTTGGTTTTAAACCCCCCCCCCCATTGAAATAAGGTTTTAAAGTGTTTTTGTTTTTGCTCTCCCATCAAATAATGGTGGTGGAATAATCTCAGTAGTCATTAAAGTGTAGTTCTGTTGTGGCAGATTTTCCAAAAAATTAAAGAAAAAAAGGAACAAAAACTGTTTACTCTGCTTTTTTTTTCCCCCTTAAAACCCCTGTATTTATTTACCCACCCTGCCGTGTCTTGGTGGTTGGCGAGAAACCCAACCACAGCGCTAGATCTTTTTGGCCGTTTGGAATCGCTGGGGATCTGTGCGCTCCGCCCTGAGATCGCATGAGCTTGGCTCCCCTCTCACCTGTATTACCGGATCAACACTAACTGCAAGCAAACACGCTTAAGTGCTTTATTAAAGTGAATATGAACTATATTAGTAGAACTGTTTTAGCTGTTCTTTGTCACCATTAGACTTTGTTTTTATTTTCTGTATCATTCCTCTTTCCCCCCAGTTTATTTTGGAGGTTGTCTGGGGGGGTGGCTGCCAGGGTACAGGCATGAGGTCCTTGGCTGGGGCTTGGAATCTTTTCTAGAGACTTACGATACTAACACGCGTTGGTCTATTTGTTTCTGTAGAAAAAAATATATATAATTTTTTGTTAGAGTGAAGGGGACTGGAGATGGAAAGACGGGCTCGTTACATGGGGTCTGGAAAGGCTGAAAAATCATTTGAATAGGAGGGGAGGAAAAAAAGTAAAATTGACTGTAGTTTCCTGCTCTTTTCTTTGCTTGAACCAGATTTTATTTTTACTATTGGCAGGAAAGAAACTCCTGTTTTTGTGCACGTTTTCAAATTATTGTAGACTTGGGTGCCACAGAATTCTTGAAATTACAGAATTAAAATGCTCTGAAAAGCTGAAACTGACCTGGGCTCTTGGAATGCTTTCTTATGTATGATCGAATCTGAGGTTGCAGGTTTTAAAAACCCCTCTGCCTGCTGCTTTTCTCAAAATCAAGTTACTTACATTGTATGCACTGAGAGAGGCTGGTCATTCTTGGTAACGGGTGCTAATCGGGGCTTTGAGTGACAACAGACAGCTGGTAATACCTGCAAGACCATCATGCTAAGTTTATTTCAGGGGTGTGTTAGTGGTGTCTCAAAAATCCTAACACTAACACATTATCGCCTTATTAAAAGTGTTGGCTTTTATATGACCTGAGTTGCTAAACACTTAATTGTGTTGTGTCGAATGAACTACTACAGTTACGAAATCGAATTTCTGCAGAAACGCAGGCTATTCTCTTGAACTGAAGATGACATCCAATAAATGCCAGCACATGAATTTTAGTGCAGTTTATTAATCATTGTTAAATACATATATCCTATGTTACATTTGTGGCAAATCATGCCCCCTACTTTTCCCTAAAGGCTGCTTCCCCACCAGAGAAGAATAGAGTAACAAATTAGCAGTACTCCATTAGCTCTAGTGGCCGTAAAACTGTTTCCACTGCTGGAAGCAGGATGTATGTTTCATCACTCAGACATTTTCTTTTTGAATTGCCTCATTAATGGCCTACAATGTGATTCTGTGTTCATACAATGTGAATTCAGGCTTATACATCTACAAGGGAAATGATGCCGGTCTGTCGATATTTAAAATTCATGAGTTAGAGAGCCAGGAGGCCAGATTAGAACACTCATTCTAAGTTTTTAGCTGGACATGTTTAGCTCTTCTGGTGCACTGCTAGACTAGAGGTGCTCCTTTAAAAACTATTTTTACAACCTTTGGAGGTTGGTATAACTGCAAAATGCATACATACACATGACGTAATAAACAGTAATATAACCCCAAATATATCTGTCAAATAAAAATAATTTAAAATTATAAACATGATTTTGAACTTCAGGCTCTGTTGAAAGTGCTGAGAGTCAAAGTTTGCACCGGTATCTTTGTGACTCTTTGCACTTCCTGTCCCTTTATATGGGAACTACATATAATTACACTTTAAGTATATAAAAAAAGTAGGAGCTGCAGTACTGAAAGCCCCCTCTCTGTGAGGCATGGGAGCTATATGGCTTTGCAGGTGCCCCAGGGTCAGGTTTCCATTGGCTGGTTGGAGTTGAAGTGTTTTTGCAAGGCCAGAGGAGAGGGTGCACCAGTGGGAATAAATATGTCCATATCTGGGCCGGTCTGAATAGTCAAAGTGGGGGTCCTTTAAGGTCACAGCTGGTTCGGGGTCCACTTGGTTCAGCGCTGCCTGAGTGGTCAAGCTCAGCGCTGTCGCAGTCCGAGTCGTCACACATGGCCTGGTTTGGGGCAAAAAAACACACAGCTCAAGAGAAGTGACACCTAATTACAGGTCTTCTGATATTTCGGGTCACATGACCACTACACTTCAGTGCATATCGCTACCAGCATCACCACAACCTGCTCAAATCTTCCAGGTAAGAAAGGTGCTGCTGGTCTTGCCGCGGACCCATTACCTCACAGTTGTTCTGTTCAATGGTGATCCTGCGCAGAGCAGCTTCTCTGCCAGACGATCCCTCAGAGACTTGAGCGACGTCAGGGGCGTCGGCGGGGATCTCCGAGCCCTGGGACAGGAGGTCGTCGGTGTTGTTGCTGACCACGTCCGGAGTTCCGCTGCGGGAGCGGTCGCTGGTGTTGCCCTCCTCACCATCAGACACGGAAGCGTTCTCCGAGCTAAGGGTGGATGGAGACTGGCACTTGGCCACACCAGCTACCCGTCTGATCAAGGGAAACAATCAAAACCATTGAGATAAAACAGAATCCCGCTAATCAACGTTGTGATGGCTGTTTCTGAGTGAAACGTCATACCCACCGTCTCCTCGGAAACTCCAGCTCGCTGTCCACTTCTCCTTCTTCCTCCTCAGACGACAAGCCTCGCCTCTGTTAAAGGATGAGGAAGACAAGACGACATTCATTAAAACAATCACGAGGATGCTGGGGTGAGCAGATTTCCTTCCCAAGCAAATTCCTTGGCAGGAGCAGATTGAACACCTGTTTGCGTGTGACTGCTGCCCTGTAGAGGATTGCTGCCGGTGTGAGGTGCTGCCCCCCGCTGGCTCCCCTGGGTAAACGGGGCACTCCCACACCCTCCACCCGTTCTTCTCCGTCATTGGGCATACGGGGGTTTCCTATGGCGGAGGACCTGCTGGCGGCCGCCCCTTTGCCACAAGGAGAGTCTGGGCTGCTGGAGAACGGAATGGAAGCAGCGTCCTCACTGGGGGTGTCGCTGCGGGGTGGAGTTTCCTCAAGGTCATCTTCTCCACCCACAGCTTCTCCTAGGCCTGCAGAAGCACTCTGGCTGCTCCCCTTGTCCAGCCCAGTGCACTGGGCCTTGCTTTGCCCTTCAGCCTCCAGGGCAGTGGAGATGAGGTCAGGGCTGGAGGAGGACATCTTCTTCAGTAGTTGGTCATGCTGCAGGCCCCTCAGGGCGGCACTGGGATCCAAGTGCTGTTTTGGGGGGGTGGTACTGCAGGGCGTGGCCCCATGAGGTGCCCCCTGGAAGTCACGGTGGCATGAAGACTGTGCCACCCTCAGGTCACCACTGCTACCCTTGCCGGCCTTGCGGTGACGCGTCTTCGCTCGGTGAGAGCGACCTGGCGACGTCGAGCCTTTGTTTGGGCAGGAGGGAAATGTTACCTGTGCCAGGGAGCAATCCAGCTTCGGAAAGATTACGTCTGACCTCAGGATATCCGGCCTGTAGCAGAGCAGATTTGGAATGACCAGTGTCAAGCTTGTCCTGTATTTGCATACAGATTTTTGTATTTGTGTTTTCTATGTGGGATGTAATTAACAGTGTTCCACAGATTGTACATATTAGGGCAACCAGGGGATTCTTTTGCGTGTACCTCTTGCTCAGTGATGGCAGTTTTTGTGGAACATTTCGCTTCTTAATAAATTTCTCCATGGAAGTCGTGCTGTGTTTGAGGAATCCTGGGTACTTTCTCTCCAAGGACTGCTCTCTCCTAAAAAAAAAAGAAAAACAGAATGACTGGCAGACATGGCTCATTCCCACCAAACCCTCCAGAAGCGGATTTGCTCTCTACCTGAGCAGCTCCTTCTCCTTGAGCTCAAGCTGCAGCATGACTGCATTCAGCTCCATGTAAAGGTTGTTGGCTCGCTCCAACTTCCTCTCGTAATGCTCCCGAATGTCCAGAGCGTGCCTGTAGAGGGCACAGCGCGCCGCATGGGGCTCACACTTAACACCAGTTTAGTTATCTCAGCCAAAAAACGCTCCGGACGTTGCCAGCGTGCATATATCCTTAGCAAGCTTGCGACTTTGTTGCCAGGCAGTGTACGGTACTGTAGTAAGTAAGCCAATAGGGAATATCGCTACAATTTAGCATCTGTGCACAATCAGTTTTCATAACAACTGAGATCTTCTACAGCAATAATAACTCAGATGTTTATACAGGCTTTGGTTTTTATGAGTTTCATTAATAAATTTAATGAGTTTCTGAATCAATTCTTGTATTAAGAGTGAAGTAACTGTTTTCCAGATGTGTTATACCTCATAACAACTAGACCTAAGTTTTGAATTATTATTTGTTTTGAACGAACAAATTCATTTTGCAGTGTGAACTCCTGCTCCGCCTCTTGACCTGCTGCCCAGCCCAGATCCTGACCTCAGCTCTTCTCTGCGCCTCTTCACCAGCTCCTCGTCCAGCCGGTGCAGGCATGTACCCTCTGATTTAATCTTGTCAAAGTGATGCTTCACCTCTTCACGCCACTCAGCCTGTCGGACGGCAGGAGAGGACAGCCACCTGACTACCACATCCCTGGGGGTGAGCGCGCCCCCCCCTCACAGACCACATGCTATCTGAGGTGTACGGTACGTGTGAGAAGAGCACAGGGGGGGTGGGAGAGGCAATGGTAAAGGGGGTACCTGTGATTTGAAGTAAGTCTCCTGTGGGGTAGACAGAACGTCAGCCGAGGCGATGTCCAAGTGGAGCAGAATTTGCCGGAAAGACGGTCTGTTTCTCGGCTTGAAGTTCCTGTAGGAACCACAGGAAGAGAGGTCCTATGGGCTGCCGAGAGCAGCAGGCCCTGCGTCATCATAGCCTCTGCTGAACACAGAGTGCTTCCTCATCATGTGTGCCCAACGCAGCGTTAAGTGGTATAAACTCAGAACCATCCTAATGGTGAAGAGGGCAGTAGACTAAAGCTTTATTATTTAATTATTATTTAATATGTTAATACTGTCATTACAATTTTCTATATCTTAGTGAAAATGTATAGAAGCGACACAGAAGTTTCTTTCTATTTCACTTCTTGACCTGCTTTTTTCTGTGACTCATCATTTTCAGCCCTCATGGTCATGTATCAGAGTATTGTACTCTCGGTAATATGTGGTCTGTGGCCTTTATTATTAGCAGTTTAGTGCTTAGCAGTTTACCATTACAGCCACATTGTATATCCATCCATCCATCCATCCATCTATCAATCCAACAATCCAAAATTGAGCACTTATTGAGGTGATCCCACAGCCTATACCAGGAAGGCAGTGAACATCCTAGATGGGATACCAATCTGCTTTGTAAGTCTTGATAAATATAAAATAAATATAAATATAAATGCCTTGCTCAAGTGTCGAATATTACACCCCTTCTTGTACCTGACCAAGCAATATTCAGGGTGTGACTCTCTTATACTGTGTGCAACTAACATATTACTGGCCAACATTTAATAGGAATGCAACATTTATATTCTGCATATCATTCAGTTCAGTTAATTTCTGTCTGTTTTTCACATGAATGTGGGCACACAACCCCTAGCCGCTCTGACCAGCACTGCTGCAGCAGGATCTTGAAACCATCCGGACAGCTATCTGGGACTGGCAGCTGCAGGCTGTTGTTGCCGACACCCCAGATGATAGCAGAAGAGTCTACATCCTTGTACG